CTGCTTTGGATGGAACACACGGTACAACCTAAATGATGCATCGTTAATCTATGAATTAACAAGGTTAATTATACCCTTCTAAAAGCATCTTGGTCAATAGAAGCATATTGCACATTTCTTCATCTGCTTGTTATTGTGGCACATTTAGAAAAAATAAATCATAAATGAGTAGATTTAGTCCAATTACCTCTTTCAGTGCAATTTACAGAATATTTTTAGAAAAGAAAAGAAGTTTTGGATTTCTCCATGACTTTGTCAGTGTGGTGCGTTTGTGTGCCTGCCTGTGTGCTTCTAACACTCTCCTTCAAGATTATTCAGACGTAACCTGCAGCTGTCCATATTGATTTAATTCACAATCAGTTTGGTGTGAGACTGACCTTGTTCACACAGTCGAGCTGCTCTTTGTCTCTGTGCTCTGTGAGCCAAATATGGCTGTCAAGTGTGTGATAGCTATACTAAAGCCAGTAAATGCAACGCAAAGGAGAGTCTGGTCAGAGTTTAATGTCTTAAAAATACATGGACAAGATACATCAGGCTCTGTGGCATTGTTTTATAAAAAATCATGTTCTTAATATTATTTTTATTATTATTTAAAAAATATGTTTGTAACATTTTCAATGGATTTAGTACTTGTGTATATTATTATATTGAATACACACTGTATGTTAAAATGTTAGATAAGTGCAGGCAGATCCAGATTTTTACACCAGTGCTGTTACTTTATTGGACATTAGCAGAGAAGGAAACAGTAAAAGAGGAAACCTCCTACACTCCAGTGCAGCAGAGGTTAAATATATGCAGCAAAGGTTGATAATCAGTTATTTCAGTAATTTGTTTTACCAGTTAATCAATGACAACTAAGCCAAAAAACAAAACAAAACATCTCTCTCTCTCGACAGCCCGTATCAGTAAATTCTCACTGATACTGAGCTCTCACTGTTCTGTTCTCCATCCAGTGTGAAAATACATCTATCTGTAGAAATAATACGTAGTAACATGATGTCCAGGGATTAATCATGATTAAATGCAGTTTTTCGTCTTCTCCTGTTCTGAAAGACAGACCAGCACTGCCACTATAACTTCATGAAGAGCAATTGGGGCAATATATCCTTCGTTCTGAAGGGAAATGCATTCAGCTGAGCTGCATGTCTAATAGAAGCTGCCATGACACCACCGCTTATTAAGACAAATAAGCCTCAGAGCAAGAGCAGAGGTGCAGAGTGGCCTTTGTGTGGCTGCTGTTAGAAGGCAAGGGTTCTCCAGCCACTCAAATGACTTTCCTGTAATCTGAGGGGAATGGGACTTTCTGTCACTGTGCTGTGTACCGCCTGTTCCATATCCTGCTAATTTCTGTTGCCTACTCTCCTGGTCCCTTGAAAGAAGAGTGGATCCTTTGTGAAGTAGGTCTTTTGTTAAGCCAATGAACCTCCCTCTTCATATTCCTAGAGTTCTTGTAGGGACAAATAATGTAATGCAGGAAGGTATTATCAGGTGACCTATCCATCTATCTATCTATCTATCTATCTGTCTAACATTAACACTGGTTTAAACCTGGCTAATATATATATTACCTACATGTGTGTAAATCTACAATACAGTTGGATGAACCACACGTCTGTGTAGGTTGATCCAGGTCATCTTATCCAAACAAACCTTCGAGATTCCTCACCCGTCCAGTTTTTTTTTTATGTCGTGCCTTCAGAAGCTCTGGGAATATTTTGACCAATTTTTAAGTTTAACTTCAACAACATCATCAGATGTACATAGCAAAAGATACAATCTATCTTTAAACATTTGATTGAGTGAGTCATCCGTGTGTCAAACCCACTCTGTGCTGAAGTCACATCTTTAACTGAACCATCATCGTACAGTGTTTGTTTATCGTGTTCAAAAATAGCTCTGATTCTGCTGAAAAATGATATTCCGTCACATACACTCTGCCGGTGTCTATTTGCATTTAATTTCTCTGTGTCTGCTTGATGAAGGCATTTACCGGAGAGATGGAACGATTTAGAAATTTGAATGGCAGTGATTGACATTGTGCTGAGGAGATTGCACGGAGCGGAGGAAATTAAACCATAAGTTGCTCAGATTGCATGAGCCTGAATGATGCAGCGTGGGGGTCGTGGGGATCTTAAATAAAAAGGGGCCATTCTTTTGTCAAACTAAACTGCGGCTCCATTGCTCTTGCTTGGAATTGAGAAATGCACACAACAAATTGCTGACATATTCAGACGTACATTTGCAGCAGTAATTCAAGAAAAAACTCAAGAAAAGACAAGTTGTGCCTGATGTCAACCACGAGCCTCAGGTTTGACCACAGACAGCAGTGGAACTGAGTTGGCAGACACATTGTGTTACCAGTTAAACATCGCTTCCTTTAGTTTCAGAATGAAAGTTATTTTGTGCTCAGCAATGACTTTGTCCTTTTTACTTGTTATCGTATTTTCAAGGACAAACGAGTTGCAGTCATTGCCAGTCTGTGAGTTCTGGCAGCCAGTAAAAATGAGGGAGAAGCCAGATATAAAACACCAAAGAAGTCCCTTACTATTAAAAAACCTAAACACAGTGAGTTTTCTGACATTTAAATTGCTTTTAAGATGTTTTATTTTGAAGACATTACATCGGCCAAAAAGGAATTCACCTTCTGTGTTAATGATCAAAATGATCATTGACAAGTAGTATGATCTGTATTAGCATGGTCAAGATTAGAATACTGTACATTTGAGCCATCAAAGGTGTAAATGACAGCAAATGTGTTTCAGGACATCAACCATTTGTTTTTTTGAATCTTGCTCTCACAATGACACAATGTGAGTCATCCCTCAGTGGAAGGCTGCAGCTGCAAGGCCCCACCACCACTGGAGGGATGTGCAACACCTTGGCTGTGAAAAAGCTCAGATGGCCCAGAGGCAGTCAGTGGGTTGAGGCAGCCAGAGGTGCAGTGGGAAGATGACTCAGAACCCACAGACTGTGCTGACAGTGGATGCTGATGCAACGCTGTCAAAGTAATGTGTGCTGAGTCAAAGCACTTAAGCAGAAACGTCAAAGTTGGGAATGATGCAAATTTTTTAAGAAAAGACACACACACACACGTACGCTCACGTGCGTACGCGCACATACACACACACACAAGCCGAGATCTCACACATCACACACTGGGAAACATTTAAGGCTCAGTGTGAACCTCCCAAAAGGACACTACCTACACTCATGTTTGATTCATGAGTGTTTTTCATTCCTATTTTATGCAGACTTCGCTATTTCCAGAGAGCAAACATGATGATGAGCAGGTCATTGTATGGCTAATCTCTGCATGAGGCTGATTCAAGCACTACATTTGCATTGTGCTGCTTTCATTTTGTTACTTTAGACAGGAAATCACCTCAAACCAGATAGAAATGAGATTCTAGTGACGATAAATAATGGATGCATATTTTACAAATCACTTCTCAGGAATGAAAATGGCTTTTGTTCATTTTTTTTTCTTCTTTCCCCCTCACTAGTTACCTCGATGCTCATCCTCTTTGTATTTACCTGAAATGTTAGGTTTCAGCCAGTTTTTTTTGACGTGTGAGTTTATGGCAGATGTTACATTTTTGAAAAGTTTTAGTTAATTTTATTTAATTATTGTTAATATATATCATTATAAGGAAATGTAAAGTGTGACCTTTCTTATTCTGGTTTGCTTTATCCCCAGATAATCCTCCTTAAACTCTCCAATATTGCAAATAACTCAGTGTTATGATGGTAAAAAATGCTTCACCAATCCTAATATTCAACATTATAATAACAGACTTTTATGCCTCAGTGTCACACAGTCAGTTTTATTCCATCACAATAAACTACATGTTCTCTGTTCCTTGGTGACAGTGTTACCCTCCCTACACTTTTTATTCCCTCTTTGTTGCAGTTTTGTGAAATCTGGGACATTTCTGGATGAAAAAGTGAAAATGACCAAATGTGTTTCGACAGTGTAGAGCTCAATGAAGGAGAAGAGATTTTCCCCCAGGGTTAGCCTAGCATGGTCTTAACTGAGACCATCATTCATAATATATCCAAAAGCAAGCCCTTTCTATGTTGTTCTAGAATGCAATTAATCATTAATATTTTAATGAGAATGTTGGTGTGCAGTTTTTAAAAAGTCAAAATGTGATTTCACTGTGACACACAATGGAGCTACTATGAATAATAAATGTTATTAATAATAAAGATAATTAAGGTGTTCATATGATCGGACTGACTTACTGTTAGTGGTCACTTGTCTTGGCTTGTGTCCCTTAGTTCTGTGTCCACAAAAATGAACGTTTCATGTTTCAAATTACAGTATAAATGACAGAATATCTATTTTGAATTTTAGCAATATTATGTTTGTAATTCTGCTTACTTTAATTTAAAGGCAAGAATTTTAACAAATCAATGATCAACAAGGCTTTAACAATAACACCCCCTGTTTTTTGAACGCTATTGACTGTTAAACATGTCATCATCACATCTATTTTGAAACTTTTTGTTGGCATCTATTCAAAATTGTGTGAATACCCCCCACCCACATGAATAGAAAACACATTTCCCCCCCCCCCGTGCTAACTTCTATGTAATTGTCGTTTACACATATATTCATTCTCTCTCATTCTTTATTCTTTTCTTAGGCTAATCAAGACAATTCCGCGTTTCTGAGCTCAATTTGCTGCCCGATTTCCATTGGCCAACGCTAGGAGCTGTCCGTGGTGCTGAAATCACGGCGGCGGCGGTGGAGCTGCTCTGAATAGGAGGCTCCCATCTCAGAGCACAGAGCGGCGTCAGCAGCAGCAGCAGCAGCAGCAGCAGCAGCATCTCGACTCTCCTCATCTCTCATTTAGCACAGTCTCCTGTGTCTAGGAGCGGACTGTCAGTGAAAGTCCTCTTTTCTTTGTGTGTAAGTGAACACACGGGGCTGAAGTCTACGCGAGGAGCGCTCAGGGTGCGCGTCTGGTCGATGCTCGGCGGAGGTCTCTGCAGGAAATTAAAGAAAAAGTGTTGAACGCAAGGACGTTCACTCTGTGCCAAAAGATCGAGACGCGTAAACCGGAGGTGGAAAAATGAAGAAGGCGATGAGAGATAATTTTCCTCTCCTGCTTTTTGTGGTGACGGCGCTGACGGAAACTGGTGGTAAAGGTAAGGGATGTTGCCTAAACATTTGCTGTCCATCATTTGTCTTGTTTTGAACATTTGTAGTGAATTCTTCCACTTGCTTCAGCGAAGCTTCCTCGCCCTCGCGGCTGCTGAATGAGATGTTACTCTTGTGGATCTTTGTCTTCTCTTTTCCGCCGTTTCCTCCTCTCAGTCTCTACATGTGCTCATAACAAACACGGCGTTTTCTCCCTGAAAGCAGCAAACACAGGCTGTGGTGACTGGACGTTCAGTGCTTCGCAGTTTCTCTGGTTTTTACACTGAATGTGCAGCGCACATATTTACTGCTCACAACGTCAAATAATCAAAGTTAAACCACATTTGTAGTTACTGGTCTCCTTGTCTTCCACGCTTTCCACGCAGTTGATTTTCCCGAGATTCACTTGGTGATGACCACTGTGCAAGCTGTGATTTGACAAAAATATAAAGAGTTTTGAGATGAGCTGTGTGAGACTAAAGTCTTGACTTTTGATTCTACATTCTTGTTTGTTTGTTTTTCTACTGAAAAGTAAAAGGTCGACTGAGGTGTTAGTTTTTTTTTTGTCTTTTTGAGTCTCTCCTTCTTTAAGTTACAGTGGATCAAACAGACAAAATGCCAGTTTGCAACAGATAACAGATCTTTTTATTTTTAGGCTTTTTGTCATATTTGATTCACAATAATATACAAAATAGTAAAATTTTTGGATTGACATAGTTTAGTGTTTCAACATGCAGTACCATGTGCTGTTACAATCTATAAAAAACAGTGACTGTTGCACTTAAGTTTGACTCCAGAAATTATAACTCCCATTTTAATTTTATTGCTCTGCAGATGCATTTTTTTAAATTTAATCAAAACTCTGACATTCTTGGACCGTTTCACTCTGCCCTCGACTGTCAGCAAGTTTCAGCCACGGTCTTTCATTTCAAATCCAACAATTGACAAAAATATACTGTGGTGTTTGTTTATTCTGAGAACGGTGGCTTTTGGTTAATGAAAGGAATAAGAGAAGTAAACGCTCTAATGTAGCGCAGAATAAACTGAGGATTCTTTACTCTCCCAGTGACCATTGTAACTTTTCCACTGTCTTCTGACGTCCAAAACTTATTTGTGGCTGTCAGAGCCTTCCATTTCCAATATACTGTGATTGCTGTGCACCTGGAAAAATACAAAATTGTACGAGAGGGCTTTTGCCCTGGACCTGATCTGTGTCTCACCACAGTTATATTTGGAAAGGCTGCGGGGAGTTTGTTGGACACATCGGTTGGGTTATTGTGCTGACATGTAGTGTGATTTCTAAGACTTTCTTCACCAGAGACTGTAGCCTCTAAATTATGACCTGTCTGTGTAGTTGGCACCTCAAAGATGAAAAAAAAACCAAACTAAACAGTTAAATCACATTGCGGTTTTCCAGATTTTACCCATAATGACAAGATTGTAAATGCGCACTCATAAAGATAGAGAAGTAGCAACTTGAGCCACAGTGAACATGAAATTATTTTTTCTCTTTATGATGTAAGTTGGATTCTATTGCTAATATTTATAAATCTAGTCAAAAAACAAAACAAAAACAAAACTACTTCGGCAGCAGGGGTGTGTCTTAGCAAGAATCTGGCGAAACGATGCGTCTCACGATACATGGGCAACGATACGATATATTGTGATATACTGTGATACTATAGGCACCACGATAAATAGTTTTTTTTGCATGTTAATTGTTAAAAAATCAATTCAATGCTGTAGAATATCGATGCAGTATCGTGAAATGAAATATTGCGATATTTCGTTCTATCAATATTTTCTTAAACCCCTGTTCAGCAGAGAGAGAGGCTTATTAAAAAACCCTCAGCCCTGCATTGTATAAACCAGTAAATAAAAACTAGACTTGCTCCAAATAAATATAGCCTATCTCCCGCTCCTCTTGTCAAAGTAGTGAGATGGCTGATAGTGTTTTTGTACCCTTCCTGCATTATTCATATCCCCTGACAAAATAGAGATGGCTGGAAAACATGGTTGATGTCAGACCAATGTTTCCCTGGATAGTCGCAGCCATTTGAACAGTCACCCAATGTTTTCCCCCCTTTTCTCACAAAACAAATGAAGTCCCAGGGTTTTATGGATAAACCTCGTTTATTCTCTTACCTCTAAACCAAAACGTAACATGTAAATGTCTGACTTAAGTTTTACACATTTGTTTTATCTGGCCGGAGACCGTCGACGTTCCCAACATTTAATCATTTTAAAGTCTGATATTAATGGCATTGAGTCTTTGACCTTTTGGGCAGATCATCTTTCTCATCCATGAAAGTGTCTGTCCAGTTTTGACCCCCCCCCCAGTTTTGTCCCCTCATTCAGGCTGCTGCTCTCAATTACACCTGTGTTTGCATAATAAAACCTCTCCACTGTCTTTGTGATTCAGGTCCATGTTGTGGACGCTGACTCTGTGTTTGAGGGTCAGATGATTAATGGAGGCGTAGGTGGTTTTTACTGTGTTGCTTTATTTAGACAAAATACCTTTGATGAATGTTAATACATCCTGATTAGGTTTATGAGAAGAAATCGCCGTGGTGGTCGGTGCATAATAAGAAGCAAGGTTTGTTTTTTTAACCTTAGAGATATTTAAATATGTTTGGTTTGTTTTTTTAACCTTAGAGATATTAAAATGTGCAATTTAAAAATGTTTTGCTTTTGAAAAACATATTTAAAAAAAACCCCAGAATTTACAAGATCATAAATATGGATTGTTGTTTATTATCACTGTCTGCTTAGACATGATAGAGGCTTAAGATACAAAGTACCGTATTAACTATTTTCTCCAAACATTCTTAAACAAATTGTGCATTTTATATATTTTTTGCCATTTGTTCATACAGTTCCTGATGTCATACTTTCCACAGCCACATGCAGACACTGACAACTGCATGCTGGGAGATTATTTCATTTATGTCATGGAGACCAGAACTTTTTAAACTCTGAATCTATTCTGTATTAAATTAGTGGCAGATCTGAATGGAGATCATTCTGGGTTCAACAGAGGTCAAATCTTCAGACCTGACATTTCAGTGTTCTTAGGTTGACAGGCCAATACAACGTGAATGCATCATATAGAAAAGCAACGCTGTTTGGTTTCAGTCATCAGCTGTGGTTGTTGTTCAAGTCTCACGGGTAATTGAAGAATAATCTGCTCCTCTCTCTTGTACTTGTCCAGTCTTTAAATGCCTCTCAATGCACCTGTTATTACTTTAAATCACTCTTCAGTCAGACACTCATGCTTTACAGTGGGAAATCACACTCTTCTTTCACACTTGGCATTTGCTCATGCAGTCTATTCAAAACTTAAAGGAATGTTTTTATCACATTAGAATGAAAACAATTTAATACATTAATGTGTAAACAGTAAAAATAAACATTATTTTTGAATTGTTTTTAGATACTAGGGAGGGTCTTGTCATGTAGAAGCACCAAAAAATCACGTCGTTCTTCAGCCCACTGCTCCTCCATGTGGTCACAATCCTTTATTTTTGTGTTTTATTTTAGCATTAAAGAACCCAAACATAATCTATTCCTTCACTTTCTATAATCATAGCGACGTCCTAATTTCACACAGTGTGCTAATTAACTGGAAGTCTAAGTGTGTAGTGTGTTCCCACAGGACACTTAATCAGACTTGTGATGGATTGATGCCTCTGACCACGGACCACAGTTAATGTGACGTAGCCACTATCGTTTCAGTGAGAAAAGCAGAGCAGAGATAAATAACAGTGAAAAGAAGAAAAGGAGACGTGCACAGTTTGTTGTATTCCTGACTGCTCTCCACAGTCTGACGCTTTTGTTTCAGTCAAACCCATTTTATCGTACAGGCAAAATGCTTTATTTACAGGATGTATGAAAGTTCTGACAAAGGCTTTCAAAGAATGGATCCAGTGAAGTGTAGAATGTGAGTGTGAAGGGTTGTTTGTCTTAAATGCCTGGTGAAGTGAAAAAAAACCCCTCTGTATGAGTCAATTGGCCCCAGCCGACTGTAGGACCATTAACCAGATGACTGTTTTACTCAACGTCAACATTTTGTTGGTCAGACAGCAACACCATAAATTATGTCCTATCTATAGATCGTAATTTCCGTGTTGAGGAACTGATCAGTCGGGACTGTTTTTATTTTCATGTTGGAATGTTGATCCAGAATGTGTGCTCCCGTTAACCTGGCTGCACAGCTGGAATTGGCTCCGCCTCCCAAATGACTTTGACAGAATGAAGTAGAAGACAATAAATGGATGGATGGATACATGAAGCAACTTCAGGTGATACTACAGAGGAACATTAGCCGTTCTTCGCCCTGCTGTCTGATTAGCCTGTTGTCATCAGTGCTAAGACCCTGCAGCCACCATGTCTGACTGACACTTCTTGCTATGATACTGATTTAATGCGCTGTCAGAGCGCGGCACAGAGCAAACTGTTATTTTAAATCTTCACTGAACTGAGACTGATGTGTGTGTTTTGACTGACGGCTGGCTTGAGTTGAATGTCACACAGTATCACATCAGCCTTGACTGTCAAAATACGATACACAGCAATGATCGTTAGCAACCGGGAAATGTAACGATACCTGTGCTGAGTGTTGGTAATATTTACATTGTACGCAAAACTGAATATTGAATTCAAAAGATACTCCATGGACAATATATATGTATATATTATATGTGAGTATATGTATATATATATAAAATAAAATCTATAAAATATAAATATCTATTCAATAATATGCATAAAAATATATATACATATACGTTACAAGTCACAAAAAAGGAAAGAAAAAACTCCAGGTTTGTAAAACTAAAACTTTGGTCTGTTCTTTGACCATCAGGTCTATAATGGCCTGCCTGCGGTCCTGATGTATCCAGATGAAAATATCTGACTTGAATAGAAAAAGCAGTGACCACTGTTGGTATTAGTAGGAAGGGATAAATAAAACGGTTAAACTGAAGCAATTACAACCTCCAGTCCATTT